GCGCCTTGAGCCAAGGCCTCGTCACTGTTGTGTTTTGAGGTGTCCCGCTGGTAACTTGTGCCCTGCCCAGGTGTGCGCACGGTGACTTGGGCATAACATGCATGTTAAGCAGTAGTTTGGCTCTGAGTGCTCTAAGGCTGAGGCAGCAGCTTGCTGGCAGCTGCTGAGGGAGTAACATCACTCTACTGATGTTAGTCCCTCAGTAGGGTGTAACTACTACTGCTCCTGCCTGGAACATCTTGGAGGTAAGGCTGGGGCTGTGGGAATGGAGAAGGCCCCATGGTCCTGGGCATGACTGAAAACTGCACCCCGCCAGGGAAGGGTGGCCTGGTGGGGCTGAAGAGCCCCCAGAAATGCCAGGCCAGTGACCTCCCTGGTGTAAGGCAGGTAGGGGCACCCTAACCCCAAGCCCCACCAAGTGGTGGGTAGTGTAGAGAGTTGTAGTAGGGGCCAGGCATGCTTAGAGGGAAGCACCTGAGCCCAACCGGGGTGTGAGACCTTGGAGCCCCAGAGGAGGTAGAGTTATGTGAGTAGTGTGAGGGCACACACAGAGTAGGGTGCAACTTGGGCACCTGAAGGACTGTGCTAGTGGGGTGCAAAGTAGGGCTCCAAGGGCGGCTCCAAGGGCAGTACATGGGCCAACCCCAAGAGTGAGAGTGTGAAGCTAGCTGCCTGGTGAGGGGCTAGGGGCAGAAGCAGCCCAGCATTTGACACAAGGTTACGCCATGTAGAGTAGGTGAGCTCAAGCGACCCAAAGTTGCTGCGTGTGTAGTGCCAGAGTGTGAGTAGCAAAGCCTGAAGGCCTGAGAGGGCCAAGGTCGCTCGAGAGGAGCAAGGGCAGTGGCGTATGGGCCAGAGACAGGTAGAATGCTAGAGGTCCCTGAGAGGGAGGCAGCGTGAGCGAGTGGGTGTGAAAGAGGCCAACAAAGGACTGAGTTTGCTCCAGCCTCAGACCAGAGAGCAATACCAATCTAGATGCCATCTGCGAGGCATGGGCCAGGGTGGAGGGAAGGTTAGGAGCCCGTTCAGGTGTTTTGTGTCAAAGCAGCCTGTGGGATCCCTTGACAAGTACACACCAAACTCAGTGCAGAAGCTGCTTGTAATTTTTATTATTTCTTTTTAAAAAGGCAAAAATCAAACCTGGTACATGAATACAATACATGCTCTTCCCTGCTGCTTAAATTAACTCCAAAAATAATATTAACCTTTGACATTACAACGGAGTATCACTACAAACAAAGAGGATTGCCATTAAAACCCCAGCCAGCCAGCCAGCCCCTGCAGCATCAGCCAGTTTTACTATACAAGTCGTGAGCTAAGTATCTTCCCTGTGCTCAGAAGGACCGTGGAGATCGCAGGTCAGAATAAGCGGGGGTCACACACATAAGAAAATTACTAAAAAAAACAAACCCCACCATCAAATGTATCCTAGGCACAGCTAGATTTATTCCAAGGTCCTCGCTGGTGAACTGTAGTAGTATCTGAAGCTGCTCTTAGATCAAGGCGGGCTTTGGATTAAAAGCTGAAAGGCAGACACTTGGGGAAGGTTTGGGGCAGTATTAGTGCCCATGTAGTCTGTCAGTTGTTTAAACACAGCAACAGGCTTGCTGCAAAAATCCAGTAGCCATTGGTTTTATTGAGCTGACTGCAGCCTTGCTGAGACTAAGCTGTGGCAGTCTGGAAAAGAAAAGGCCCATCTGTTAGAAACAGCAATGCATTTGGGTCAGTTGTGTGAACATGGACACCGGCTTCTTTCATCGCAGTTTATCGTATTCTAAGCGCCCTCGAGATGCACCTGACGCAGTGTTATTTCCAGGTACGCAGCTCGCCAGGGCAGTGTGGCATCATGTACGCGCAGCTCTGCAACCCAGAGTGCTTTGTTTTTTGCAAGAACATGATCGCTCCCCCTTGCAAGGAAAGGCGGCTGAGCACCCATGCTGAGAGGTAAGTGCCGCTGCCGGCTTACTGTTGGGCCTCTGTAAGCAGCTGGGAAGATGCATGCTGGGTTATGCTCATTACCATGGAAGGACTCGCTGAGGAGAGAGGCTCTCTTTAAAAAACGCCAGGGGATATTCAGCAGGTCTCACACGCAGAGCAACTGCTTCCTGTTGCTAAAAAAAGAAGAGTGTGTGCTTGCACTCCCCTCCCCAAGTGGCACCTTCTGAAAGCAGGATGGTCACTTCTGGGGTGGGTCGAGCTGCTCAGCTTGTTCTGATCGCAACCCCTTGGAGCAGCCACATTCAACCTTCCCATTCCATTAAAGGTGGCTTTAATCTCAGCGCTCACTCCCCAAACAACTGTGCAGAAATGAGTCCTTGGTCATTGTGTAGCCTTGAGCTGACCAGGGAATTAGGAAAGGTTCCTCTGAGTATCCTGGCAAGTCCAGCACTCAGTCACCAGAAGGACTGGAAAGGGTGTTTTAGCATGTTACAGCGGTGTTGGGCACATGCTCAAACTCTCCCTATGCCTGAAGACAGGTGTTTGTGCCCAAAAGCTTGCAAAGAAACAATTTTTCCAACTATTTAGTTGGTCTAATGAAAGATACCACATTTACCCAAAGAACCTTGTCTGCCTTTTAGCATGTTAGAAATAAAGCCGCCCTGCAACACCACCGGCAGAGCACTGCCTCGCACCGTGCGCCTGGTACTGGTGCTGTAGAAACCCCTGGAAATGACTAAGGCCTTGCAGGAATTCTAAGCACCCAGGGCTCTTCCCGTCTGTTAGCCAGAGCCCTGCCTGTGCAGTGCTTTGAATTTCCAGAGTTTGCAGCACCCTAGTGAGGTAGATCAATGTCCCCTTTCTACAGCTGGGGAGGCTGGTGGAGGCCAAGGAGTTGCATGGTTCTGCCCAGGGCCACACAGCGAGAACTGAGATTAAACTGGAGACATTCCTCACTCCCAATTCTAAGTGCTCTCTGCTAATGACTGCTACCTCTTGGCTTGAATTTCACACCTTTATTGTCTGCCACCGTGGGAGCTTCTTGGTTGCTTAATTTATCTGCTCCTACCATTCATTTCCCACATGGATTCTTAAGCCTCTGTGACCTCATTCCTTACACCAGCTGCTAATTGCAACATAACAAAGAAGCCCGACTTTAGCGCTCTACCGGGGGCCAGTGTGCCTTGGAAGACAGCCCAAAGGAAGCAACTGAATAATGTTCCTTAGTGATACACCTGGGACATCCCCTCCTTGTCCTGTTACAAGCTGAGAGCCAGAGCCTGCCCTCTTCTCACCTGGGTTGCCCCACTGACCCCCGGGGAATCATTCATCGCTAGACAAGCAGGCAGGTTTTGGCTCAGCTCTGCAACTGGCAAAGGAAACATTTTCTAGTTAAAAAGGTCGGCTGCTGCTGCTGCTGTGACCAGAAAGCAAACACCAATCAATCTGATAGCCTCAAAGGAGGCAAAAGTCTGTGCCCTGTTCATTTGGTCATCCAAACATTGGAGCGGGCAGGACGTGGCGTAGTGAACTGAGTTTGTGCAATCGCTGTGCAGAGAGGGTGAGACTGGAGAGCTGAGCCTTTACACATGACCTTTTTTTCCCTTTTTATTTTGGATTCTATTTAGAAATATTAACAAATCTGACAAAAGTACACAGGTAGGTAATACTGCAATACAAAAGTCCGGTAGGATGCAGGTTCAGGACAATTTCTGCAGCCTTCACATGGTAGCAAAACATTGGTATCAAACATTTAACAAGTCCTTGCATGACAACCACCACCGTGCATGCAGCGTGTGTATACATATATATACAGTCCAGTTAAAAAAGACATCAATACAAAAAAAAGAAAGACTCCACGCGTTCGGTCCTGCTCCGTTGTAGGCATAAACCAGCATTATGGCACATAGGTGCTGAAACAAAGGGCACATTTAAAATAACCTCGTGGGAAAGGGAGGTTTGCCAATTATTCTGAGCCACTCATAGAGCCTTTTTTTATCAGAGGCGCTGAGTGCACAGTGTCTGTGCCCTCAAATGGGATCTATAGGGGTGTGATGGGGAAACTGGGCCCTAAATACCCTGCTGTATTTTAAAGTGCTGGAACTATAGGGTGGGGGAAGAGAGCAACATTTTAAAATCTAATGCGACACACTGTTGGCGTGCCAGTCCAGTTCATGCATATCTGTATAACGAACTACACATAATTTATTGTTACAATGACCTTTTGAATGGTTGCCCCTCATTAAACAAGGTTTAGCCTCATTATAATGGGAAAAAATAACTGTCAGTCTAAAGAACAGCTGAACTGCAGACTGGGATGTTCAGCACACAAGGCCGTGTTTGGGAGCTAATGGAAAGGGAAGAGCGAATGTAACAACGGACATTTCCAAGGATTCTAACAATGGGCGACACATTGAGCTCATCTAGGACTTTGTGCTTGCTTGGAAAACCTGTGCCAGTGTCAGGAAGCAGAACCAGCTAGAGTTAATGAAGAGCAGAGTCAGTGCACAGCACAGGGGCCAGCAGAGGAGTTTGGTTCAGAACGCTGCTAGATGCAGTCTCAGACCAGCTCTGTGATGGGAGATCCTGAAACTAAATGGATGGTCGGGGCACAGGGGTGGTGTTTGCTGCAGTGGGGATTTGATCTGGCTCCTACAAAGATCTCGTTTATTTCTACAGTGCAGAATCCGAGGCCTTGTTCTTTTGATGCTGACTGAAGCCAGCATGGGGGCGAAGAAGAGCACTGCAGAGTGGAGCAGGTGGGTGCCCTGTGTGCTGTTTGGCTTGGTAAAGACTGAATAAAAGGAAACGACCAAACTGCATTTTCTGCCTTCTGGGACTGTGCAGTTCTCCCTGGTCTCAGGCATGTACAAAGACAGGATTGGGCCCAGGGACTCTTCAGCCCACAAGCCTAACCCCCCTCACACACCTAGCCGGTGGCGAGGCTTCTGTCCTCTCTTCACTGTCTCCATGCCGAAAGGAATACACAAACTAATACTAACATTGGACAGGACACTCCAAAGAAGCAATGTCTTGTTCAACCCCAGCTGTTCAGCTCCCAGGAGGAAAGGAAGAGCCATGGTTTCTCTGACATAGCAGCTGTGTGGAAGCGCAATGTGGAGTTCAACTGTCTGCAGAGGAGCAGCCATCAATGCTAGAACAGACCGGGCTGTCATGTGTGGAAATTTAAAAGGATCAAAAGTAGTAAATGCAAAACTGTGTATTATTTCTGAGGAGGCTGCAAGGGCCTCTGCCGTTCCCAAGTGGACACTGCCCAGCCTCACTGCACAGCCCTTTCAGCCTGCTGGCGTGCTGGGTGCAGGTTGTCAGCCAGGACAAGCGTCCCATTTCCAAGAGAAAAGCAGAGAGGCCTCTTGAGCGCAGAGGACGCGAGCACCCCGGAAGGAGAGGTTTAAATGCATAAAGACTCGTTAGGCCCAAACCACAGAAAGTGACAAACAACCAGAAACGTGGCACAAATCGCCTTAGTAAAATAGTTCCATGTTTAATAAATAATGCCTTTTGCTCATATTAGCTACATACACAAAGTGATGCATTCATTTTGCCACTGAATTGCAAGGCAGCAAGAAGATAATCCAGTATATCAAATAGTTAGAAACAAGTCAGGATTCTAGTGCATGCAGGCTGTGTCGTCTCACACCGCGTGTGTGTGTAGTGTGTATGTTGGAGAGCGTAGGTGCTTAGAGGCATCCTGAAGAAAACCCTAGGGACAGAACCCACTGAACAGAGAAAATCAATGTTGTCTCGTTCACTGGTCTTTCCCTGCAGTCTGGCCATTGATGGGATTTGCCAAGCTGCTCCTTGCTGGCTCGGTATCGCCATCCCTTTTAGCAGAGTAAGTAAACTCTAAGTCCGAAGGCATGAATTGTTCCTGGTTCAGGTTGCGAGAGCTCTGCTATTCTCTGCGAGGTCTCTGGCCTGTGCTCGGGGTCAGTCGCTCAGGACGGCCCCTGGCAGCTCGTTCATTAGCGTGTGCCAGCGCTCTATTTTCTTGTCCTTGTTTTTCAGGCAGTCGAACCAGTGCTTCAGCCTCTCGCCTTTGGCGTTAATTCCTAACACAACTCCACCTTAACAGAAAGGGACACGCGACAGTCAGCTCAGCTGGTGAAGTAAGCCAAGTGGTGCCAGCACAGAGAGGCAGACAAGTCTAACACTGCTGTGCTACCAGCTGCCTCCAGCCAGCGCCATGCAGCCGGACGCTGCAAACCTGCTCCAGCTACCAGGATGCATTTGGAAACAGCCGGCTCGGAGGGGTCAGTGTGAGGGGGGGCTCTGCTGCTCTATCCCACATGCATCAGGGGAGACAAACAGCTCTGCAGGACACCCAGCTCCTAAGGCTGACCTGTGGGCAGCCCAGAGAGGGAGAGCATGGAGATGGCTGCTGGCCTAGTCAGGAGCAGTGTCTAGCCTGGACCTTGGCTGCTCTAGGGTAGAAATTTCTGTGCTGTGCAGGGGGCAGGGGCTCGGCTCCAGAAGGCACCGGAGGGGGCTCCTGGAGCCTGGTGGCTGCAGCACTGTGTGGGGAGGTCGGTGAGATGCCAGGTCAAAGCCCCTGGGGGTGGGGAGAACCTGCATCTCCAGCTCCTGATGCCGAACACACAAGGGCTGCACCCCCGTTCCCCCGCCAGTGACTGGCTCCATCGTCCATCCCTCCTGTACTCCTTTTGTTTCCTCTTCTGCACGCTTGCACACTGGATTTCCTCAGCAGCATCCAGTGACAGGTGGCTTGTTTGTTCAGCTAGAAACCCTCTTGGTTTTTGCAGGTCCCTTTGGGGGGCGGGGGGAAGGGGAGGAGGCTGAGAAAAGGAAGGTCAGGTACATCGCAGGGCCAATTCTACACACTGAGGAGCAGAGGTGGACACAGAGCAGGGCTGGAAACGACCGTCCACCCAGAGGGTGCTGGGAGGTAACAAACTCGCCCTGGCAACAGATCACTAAGTGCACGAGCAAGAGGACACCAGCTGCATGGGCCTCAAACCAAAGACAAACCAGACCCCCACTTTCATGCTCCTCTGGCTTTAATGAAGGGGTAGAACAGAGATACAAGTCCCTTTACCTGTGCTCCTGTTTGCTGCACAGCTGGTTTTGAAGCTGAAGGTCGGGTTGAGATGGAGGAGGAGAGCAAGTGGGAGAAGATGGAGAGCAGGAAGCATAGCAAGTGACAGGAACAGCAGCAGCAGCACGAAGGAAGGAGCAGAAAGGCAGAGAAAAGTGTGGCAAGGAGAGGAAAACGAGAAAACGCTAAGGGGAAAAGGGAGAAGCAGAGGAGCCAAAGAAGAAAGGAGCAAAGCAGAAGAGAAATGTGAGGGGAAGAGGCAAGAGGACGGCAGAGCTGGAGGAGAGCGCAGGAAGGTGGAGACAGGGACAGGACTGGAGAAGCACAAGAACAGCGCTGGAGAGGGGAGGGCGCCACAGGCAAGGGTCTGAGAAATCCAGGAGAAAAGTTGTCAGGAAAGTGGGGGGCTGGAGGGGAGGGGAGAGGAGAGACAGAGGTCAGAAAAGCACAGGAAGAAAAGGAGCAGAAATGAGGCTGCAGGGGAGCGCGGGAGGGAAGAGACAAGGACCGGGAGCAGACCAAGGGACAGAGCAAGAGCAGGGCAGCAGCGCCAGGCAGGCGGCACCTGGAAAGGAGAGGGAAAGGGGAGAGGCCGAAGGAAGGACACGGGAGCAGAAGGAGAGAAGAGCAGGATGGCAGCTGGAGAAAAGCCAGTCATGACAATGCAGGGGCCCAGAGAGCTGCAGTGACCAGCCTCGGCAGGGTCCTGCTTACCAATGAAGTCATTTGATTTTCCAATATCGTAATCCCACACTGTGACTTCTAAGGTCTTTTTTGCCAGGTCCCCGTGCTTTATCTCATAGCAAAACTCCTGTTGGGAGAAGAGACAGAGGTGAGGAGGCAGCACCCTCCCCAGCAACGCTGGCAGAACACAACTTGGCAGTGTGCATCACGTCTGACCAGCGAGGGAGGTGTCAAGGCAGTGCTGACCAGGGACCAAGCCAGCAGCTGGCAGGGGCAGCCAGGTGCTGGGGCAAGCCCTCCAGGTCACCGGAAGGTGCCAAGAGTGGACGTAAATGGCCTCAGGTGCTAGAGCAGCCCATGGGAGCCACCCAGCTACCTGTCCCTGCTCATGGGACGTGCCCTAGATGCTCCGGAGCGGGCTTCTTTGCTGATCCTGGGAAACATTCGTCTTGCCCCCACAGCCTGTGTGAGGGGCTCGGTGCCCCATGGCAGGCTTTGCTCTGCGTCAGGCAACTCTGGAGAAGAGGCTTTGCCCAAGTGTGATGCCCCGCCATCAACCAGGCCAGGCGGGGCTGCTGCCCAGAGAGCCCCCAGCATGAGGTGCATGTGCAGCATGGGAGACCCCAGGGCTCCATTCCCGGGGCACTCAGCTGCATCGGTGATGGAGCGATGTAAGCCCTTAAGGCAGACAGAAGCTAATCTTCTACCCAAACCCCCGAGCACGAGCATGAGCACGAGCAAAGCTGCAGAACCAGCCTCAGCCTCGCAGTGAAGAAGTTGCACTGACCAGACTGGGCGACGGGGTCCCGGGCAGCCGTGTTAGATAACGGGCACTTATCCATTGCTGACTGGCACGCACGCAGAGGCCGGCTGGGACTGGAGGCCCCCTGGTGCAGAACACTGACGTGATTTATGGGCTCGTCATCTTGATGAACGAGGCTTTTTGGAGCCTCGTCAGGGACCCCAGCATCTCAGCCACCACCGTGAAGGGAGCGAACGTACCTCATTGAATTCGGGGTTCAGGGTTTTCTTTTTCACGGCTGTTTTGTGCTTTGACTTCTTGTCCTCATCCGGCTTCAAGTAGCTGTAATCACAGCAGAGCGCTGGTCACAACAGAGTCAGCTCTGCCGGGCAGGTGCCTTTTACCTCTGGTTCACGTCAGCATTCCCCAGACTCGCTGGAGCTGCGTGTCCAGCGCTGCCACCAACTTGGAGGGCAGGTGGCTGCACTGCCGGGCAGCGTGGCCTCCGCCTCTGCAAAACGTGGTGGCTCTTACCTGTGTCCTGCTTTGAGACCTCCCAGTGAAAGTTATCATGTAGATGCCATCTCACCTTGGCTGAGCTGCCAGACTCCAGCAAGCTCTGTCCTCCCAAAATGCTTCCTGCACACCCAGTTGTCTGCCAGGATCACTCAGCGACTGGACACTTAGGCCGCACTGCCAGCCTGCCCCACAATGGAGGAGCCTCGCCAACGGAGGAGTGCCCCGCCAGAGCCCGGGCACTCAAGCAGCAGCCATGCAGCGCGGTAGCACCCATCCCACTGTCCTGCATGAACACCTGTTTCCAAAGCCCAACACCGTTCTGCTTGCAGCATTTTACCCACTGAGGCACTCACACACTGCTGGAGGGGTGAGCGGGAGCAAATGTAGAGGCCGGCATGGAGCTGATTCCCCCACTGTGAGAGTGCCCCAAGGTGGGAATTCAGGCTCCATCCCCGGGGAGCGCCTGCTGCAGCTCAGCACATGGCACTTTTCAACAGACGCTGCCATTTGTGCCCAGGCCCTCCTCTCCCAGCACTGCCCAGACGTGGTCTGAATAGAGTGCCCGTGTCTGCCCCTGCTCTGCAGTCACACCCCGAGTCCCGCACAACAGGCAGGTGCCAGGACAACCGTGTAGCACAAAGAGCTCATGCCTCTGGAGTCAGCCTGCAGCACCCGTGAGCAAGGGAGACACCATGGACAGTCCCCTTCGTGAACTGCAATGAAGTGAAGACCCTGCACAAGCACACCTGTCTGTCTGGCGCGCCTAAAGGCCTGCCTGCTGGGCTGAGTTTAAGGCCAGGCTCATGCTGCTATGGCTCCTGGGCAGGTACGGGAAGGGCCCTCTGCTGCACCCCTATGTGCAGGGCAGCGTGCTCTCTCCTGCACCTGACACGTTCATCCCTTGGCAGGAGTTCAGCACCTGAACACTGCACCAGGCACGGGGGCAGCCAGGTTATCAGCGGCTGCCAAGCCCCGTGCCCTGCAGCCTGTGTACAGCTGGTAAGGGACAGGCACAATGTGAGCAGCCCTGGCAGGGCGGTGGAGCAGCTGGGCACTAACTGGGTGGAGGCAGAGAGGGGAGGGGAGGGAAGGGTGCACTCAGAGCAGAGCAGATTCAACTCTCCATTACACCCAGGCCAGGCACAGAGGCTGCCCTGCTCCTGATGTACTAGAAGGGCTGACAGACTGGCAGGGCTGGGTCTGCAGGCAGGGCTGCATGGACCCCAGCTCCCAGCCCTGGGGGCAGCAGCGTGGAGTGCATGGCACCAGGACAGCACTGCAATCCTGGGCAGGGTCCCTGTAGGAAGGGTCCAAGGCTGGGCCCAGGCAGGGCATCAGCCCTGCAGCCATGGCAGGCAGGAGCCAAGGTCAAAGGAGGATGGAGGATTAATGGGACCCAGCAACAGGGGAGCATCCAGCAGCTTGGGGGGAGGGGAAGCATCCTTTAGACAATGCCTTGTCCCCCTGCCCCCCCCGGGGAGCAGGAGACCCAACCTCAGCCCGACGGCTGTGCAGCAGGGCAATTGCAGAGTCAGGACAGCCCCGGGCAGGAGGGACGGGGCTGCCACAAAGGAGAGCAAGGCAAGCTGGCCCCATGGCTTCCCCGCTGGGATGCGTGGGGTGGGCGAGGTGCTCTCTAACTGGGGCAGTTCCTTCAGATTAAGGGAGAGTGCAAATCCGAGGCTGCGGCTTTTCCTGTACAGCTCCCCGTGCTGGAAGCACCCCTGCTCCTGGACCCCCAGCTGGGGCCCAGACCTGGCAAGTCTTAGTGTTGTCAGCTGCAACGCAGCCAAGGTTCCTTTTGCTTCTCCAAGGGCTCCAGGCCTAATTACCCCTTCCCCAAGCCTCGTCTCAATGAACTGCCTTTGTCACAGCAGCTGCAGGGAACAGCTGTGAGGGAGGCTCTGGCTCGGGGCTGAGAGCAGAGCAACAACAGCAGCACCTTCTCCCCAAATGTGCCTGTGCCAAGCTGTCCCGATTTCACCCACAGAGTGGGCCCAAGTCCCCAGCACTGGTGGGGCAAGCACCTCCACTCTGCTGCCCCTACACGTGGGCCTGAGGGGTGTAAAGCAGGAGCCACTCCACTGGTGTTGGTGAAGTTGCACCAGACTCAGCCCAAGAGCAGGGATGGCAGCGCATTGTTCCCTCCCGCCCATCTGCCCTGGCTCCTTCTTCTCCAGACCCTTGGGGTAACCAGAACATCTTCCCTTGCACTGCTGCCTCAGCCAGATGCTGCCTTCCCCTCCTGGAAGGGCCCCCTTGCCCGCCACACCCTGCCACGGGCCCTGGGCTGCCCAGGCAGAGGTCAGTGCGCTTCCCCAGCCCAGCAGCTGCACGCTGGCGCAGAGTGCCCAGGCCACCTCCCAGAGGCCTGCGAAAACATCTCAGACACGCGGTGCTTTGAGATGGCGCCTGGCAGGCCGCAGGCACAGTAGTGAGCCCAGTACCAGCTGGAGCCGCAGCACCAAGCATCACAGCTCTCGCCAGCTGGTACGATGCCTGTCTGAGGTAACGGGCGGCTGGGGAAGATACCAGCCAAGCCCAGGACGCGCCGCGCAGCAGCTGCCGAGCCAGACGGAGCTCCCAGGCAGCTCTCGGGAGAGGGATTGCGAGGGGATCCGCGTTTCCTTGGTTATTCTTAGTCTCTAATTGCCTTCTCGCGGACCGTGCATATGTACTAAGCTACAAGCATCTGCACAGCCACTGCTGGCGTCTCCCCAACCCAGCTCAGCACCAGGTTGTGGGAACTGAAGACCCCCATTCCCACCCGTAGCAAAATGACTCCAAGCCAAGGAGGGGGAACTTGCACCGCATCTGGGAGGGATATGGGCAGAAGCTCCTGGCACCCCCGAGACCTGCCACAGCCCTTCTTCGAGGGACAGCACCTGGCACCCACAGTTCAGGGAGAAGCTAAAGGCTCTGAGCTGGCCCCTTGCAAAGGCCGGGTGGCTCCGGCCCTAGACCTGCAATGCACCAGTGCCCCCTTTATGTCCCTGAAGGTGGGCACGGCTGTTGATGGGGCACCCGCTGCGTGGCTGCATGACACTTGCTGACTCGCACAGTGGCCTGGGCTGCCAACGCCTGCCCTGTCTGCCGCTGAGAAATCTGACCCGAGCTGTTCTGCAGTCGGCGCCTTTGCCCTTCCCTCGCGCAAGGAGATGAGCTCCCATTATGCAAAGCACCAGGCTGAATTAACCAGGATCAAACACCTCAATTATCCCATCCAGCTCCCCTGTCCCTGTCAGAGTGGAGCAGAGTGATGGAAACCCCTCTCCTCCCATGTGTACAGGCTGCAACCCCACAGGCCTGCCACCTCAGGCCCCCCATGCCTGCCCCAGCCCATCATGGCATCCAGCAGCAGCAAGGTCCTCGATCGTGCCCTGCAGAGCTGCCCCCTCACGCCAGCTGCTCAGAGCACAGAAGCTCCCAGCAGCTCCAGGGCCCAAACCCACATGCCTGAGGACCGGCAGGCAGGAGCTCCCAAAGCGTCAGCCTGCTGCAAGCCCCGGTCCTGGCCCCAGCCCGGCAGCCGCCTGCTCCCTGAGCCGTGTCACTCACGTTTTCACGTAGGGGTCGGAGTAGCCGTTGGCGTCCATGGCGGCCAGGTGGGCGCAGCGGACAATGCCCACCAGGAGGCCCTGCTTCTGGGAGCTGTACTTGAGGGAGATGAGGATGCGGCCCCGCTCCTCCAGGGACTTGTCCTCTGTTTTATCTATCTGGGGGGACGGGGAGAGGAAATGGGTGCTGCTCAGTACGGGCCCAGGGCAGGACTCCTGGGTTTCGCTCCTGCCTCCGCTGCTGACTTGGTGGAGCCCGGGTAACACGTCAAGTGTCAGCTTAGAGTCACGGGCCAGTCCTGGCACCCCAGGCGAGTAGTCCCAGTGACAAAGCCAGCAGAGCAGCTGCCCCGTGCCCCCAGGGCTGGGCTGATAGAGGCTGCTCTGCAGGAAAGGAATGGGGGTCCCCCACCACTACCACCCACATGACACGTGGGGCCAGCCCCTGGCTCCCTGCCCCGCTCACCGGCAGCTGCTTCTCCAGGCAGATGTTGAAGTTCTTGGTCTGGTTGGGCTTCAACTTCTTGAGCGGGATCCGCGTCTCCCCAATGAACTCGTTGTGGCGGAACTTGTCTTCGTCGCAGACAGAGATCCTGAAATGCAGCGGGACCGAGTCAATCCTGGCCAGCGCCACCTATCCTGGCTGTGGGGTGGGGACGGCGCCAGACCAAAACCCTGCTCCCTTGGACTGGCTCCGGCCGGGGCAGGAGCAGAGCAATGAGCACCCCCTCCCCAGGCCCAGCTGACCACTGCCAACACCGGGACCTCGTTAGTGCCTCACAGGGGCCCTCAGCCGAGGAGGCAGGGGCAGACCCTGGCTGTGCCGCCTCTGCACCTACTCCAAAGCCTTGTGGGCACACAAGCCCACAGGGCTTGACCACGACTGAACTGATCCCCGTGGAGCCCGATGGGTCTGGATGGGGCCAGGCTGGAGCGTGGGGGCATCACATTAACCAGTGTGCAGCGTGCCAGAGGGCAGCTCTCCCCTCTCATCACAAAGCCTGACCCTGGCGCCAGTAGAAGAGGGCACAAAGCTGCTCTTGGCCTGGGAAGCAGGCTGACTTGAGGGCCTGCACGCTCTTCTGCTCCAGCCCTGCTTTTACACAGCTAATGAGAACCCAGATGCCGCTGGAAGCAAGGAAGTGAGGCAGGCAGCGGAAGTACCGTTACAGACGTCGCTCCGGCCCTGGGGCTTCCAGGGCACCCATGCCTGTCCCCTGGCAGAGCACGGTGGCTGCACGCCCATGGTCTCACTTCCCTGCGAGGGACAGCGCCTGCCTCAGCAGCAAGGGAGTGAGCCCACCGGCCTGGATCGACCTCTGCCGGCGGAGGCAGGTCCGTGAGCAGAGTGGTGCGGGACCAGGCCTGCTCTGGTGTCTGTCACATTGCATCTGAGCAAGCAAGGATGGGCAGCCGGCTCCCCCAGGGCCTCAGCATCCCCAGCAAGCAGGGAACGCGAATGCAAGCGAAAGTCCTCCCTGCCAAGGGCCCCCAGCCGGCTTGCAGACCCACAGCCGCGACCAGCCAGGTGCCTCGCCCGCCCAGCCTGGCCAGGTTCATTGGCTCCGGTTTTGTTTCTGGGCAGGTGCAGAGCAGTAACGGCTCATCAGAGCAGGCATGGGCTGCGCGCTGCCTTCACTGTGACACACATTAGCTTGTTCCGATTTCACCTGCGGGGCCATGCAGGACACAGCTATGTGTGGTTTGCAATGGCAGGACATCCTCATTGGAGATACCCATGCACCCGAAATCCCCACAGCAAGCCCCACGCGCTCCGGGGAGGCAGCAGTACATGGAGCAAAGGGGCAGCCCTGGAGACAGACCCTCCCAGGCTGCCCCTGTTTTAGTGGGCTCTTGAGTCCTGTGGCTTTGCCCCCACCTGCTTCTGTGGCCCATCTAAACCTTGCTGGGGGACTGTTTGCTCGCTTCCAGCTCCCAGGCGTTACCATGAGCGAGCCAGGAGTGTGCAGCTGCAGGATGGTGCTACCCTGCATTACCTGCTGTGATAGAGCAGGAGGCCTGGAGAGCTTCTGGGCTAAGGGCTGGCTGACAGGCCGGGAACTTGGGACTGAGCGACTCCCACTGTTCTTGGAAAATGAATGGGACTACATAGGACACACGAGCCTGGATCCCTCGCAGTCTCCTACCTGCCAGGGGGAAAAGGGGCATCCCCCTCAGCGCAACCTGCCTGGTGCAGCCTGTGCTGCCCACATGCTTGAGGTGGGTTATTGTGACTCCCTGCCCCAGGCTGCACCTGTGTGAGCAGGGGTGTCCCCAGGGCCGCTGAGGGAGAGAGGAACCCTACCAGGTGCGGGAACCCAGCCCCGCAGCCCCTGCACCTTTGCCCTGGCTGCTGGCTGGCCCCAGTGCTGGTCCTGGCAGGCAGAGGCATCTGCAGTCCTCCACGCACAGGGCATCTGCAGGCAGCTCCCGGCGGCTTCGAACCGCATGGGTGCTCCTCCCTCGAGGGCAGCCCCGGCAAGGCGGCGGGGGCACTTCAGAAGTATTTCTGCACTGTGATCTCACGGCTCTTCCCAATTCCTGCAGCCGCGGCTGCCAAAGACAGCAGAAGATCAACAAGGAGCCCCCTTCCCTTCCACCTCAGCACGCTGCCGTTAGCACTGCCAAGTCTGGCTGCTGGATGTGGGGGCGTGCTCACTGGACCGGTAGCCTGAGCTGCCACTCAGAGCACCTGGTCCTGGTGAAGGTTTCTCCCTCCTGCCACTCCTGGCTCCCCGGCTGGCCAGGGACAGACTCGGCCGTGCCAGATGGAGGTATGTGCAGTGCACGCAGCCAACCTGGCATAGGAAACAGGCTTCGGCAAATGTGAAGCCCCGTTCCCACTGTGGGCAGTGCTGACTGAGGGCCAGTGGGTCACCACTTCACAGCTCACTCGTCTTGCTAGATATGGCAGACGGGAGCCAGGTGCTGCTGCACCAGAGATGGGCGACAGAGCACAGCCTGGACCCAAGCAGGGCTCCATGGAGTCCAGTGTCGGGCCTGCCTGGGGCCAGCTCTGAGCACCTCGAGGACCTCCCCAGCCCCAGCCCCAGCCCCAGCCCCAGGGAGGTGTGGGGTATACCCACCAGACTAGGCCTTGCCTGCTGTGTCAGACAGGCTGCAACCCCCAGCCATGATTTGAGACCCTCCATTCAAACAACAACCGAGCCGTCTCGGTCCGTGCCCTGTGCTCCCAGATGCTGCAGTACCGATCAATACACCACCACGTAAGCGCAGGAATGCAGCACGGACACCCCTGAGCCCAGGCTCTGCCCACAGGCCACTTTCCCCTACTGCACCCATCTCCTGGCACCTGGAAGACTTGCTCCTGCACTGCACCCTGCGGAGAGGCAGGGCCCAGCCCAGGCTGCCCCCTTGGTCCCTGGGACCGAGAGAAAATGACCCAAATGCCTTACACAGGCCTTGCTTGCCTCCTGGAGCAGAGCGGGCACTGGCCGGCCCAGCCCATCCATCCGAACTGCACTGACAGCCCAAAGCCAAGGCAACGGAGAGGGGAACCACGACAGGGCCTCGGGTGCACACCAGCTGTCCGAAAGCCTCATAGCCAGGCCGTGGTCCTGGCAGTAGTTTGGAAGGGCACCCAGAGCACCGTGGTGTCTCGGATGTCACAGTAGCAGCACACAGGTCATTCTGGCCTGCACCTCATCCCCCACCCTCCTGGGCTCAGCCTGCCCCAGCCCCCACCAGAGTTGCTTTGGTACAACACGGTGGCTCTTCCCCCGGTGAGGGCCGAGGAGCGCAGGCGCTGGCAGAGGGAGAGCAAGACCAACCCCGGCAGAGAAGAGAAACTCCCGGAGCCTGAAAATCCACATCCCAGGTGCTGAATTCCACATCACCACGAAAGGGAAAAGCTGGACCCACGTATTTGGTTTCTCTGCTGGCTGAGCTCAGGGCAGGCAACCAGTCCTACCTTTTGCTCGTCCTCTCTACAGCAGCAGAGGTGAGATTGCATTTGCCACCAGGGTCAACTCTTCAATCTGCGCCTGGCAGACAGGTGCTGGCATGGCCAGAGAAACGTTAGCCGTGTGGAGTGAAGGCAGCCGATGCCAGGCACCCGGCGTGCCTCTGCAAGGGACGGACAGCAGCGCTGGGCAGCGTCAGTGCTGCAGACTGCTGGGGGATTAGCCCGCACGACACTACACAGTCCAGCCGGCACGGCAGCGTGCAGATCCCAGGGCCTGGCTGGCATTTCTCTTCCCCTGCTCCAGACATAGCTGTGCTGATGGAAGAGGCCTTTTGCCAGCTTAGCTTCTGCCATCAGAGGAGGTAGCTGAACACCACCTGCACTGACAGCAGCCCTGTAATGTAGACAAGCCCTGGGTGAAAGGCACAAACCTCACATAACCTGTGCGAGAAAAGACAGGGAAACCACCCATTCTCCCGAGCCCTGAGGGGCTTCCCTGAGAAAGGGAAGGTTTTGGATGTGTACGGCAGAAACTGCCCTCCAAGGAGGCTGTCGTTAGCACCTCTGAAGGAATCGGGCTAATAAGAGCGCAGGGCCGCTACAGAGCTGGGCATGGCTGTGACAGAACAGGGCCTGCCTGCTCTCCTCTGGGCCTCTCCGTGGGCAGGGACCCAGCAGACATGTGCCTCCAGCACAGGCAGAGAGGCAAGCTCAGGTCCCAGGAGCGTGGCTTGGCCAGCGGGAGCAGGACCCTTCACAACAAGCACCTGGGATCTGTCGGACTTGCCCTCTGCATTAGCTGTGGCTGAGCGCGGCGTTCTCCACCCGCCCGGTATTTGTAACCCCCGGGCTGAGGCTGTCGGCCTGGCAGCTCTGTGTGACGAGTGCCGGGCGGCTGTGACGCCTGATCCGGTACCGGAGGAAATGCAGTCGCCTGTGTCTGAGCTGCACCGCACAGCCTCAGGGCAGGGGGGTTTATGTCGTGGTTAGGGAAACCTGGTCCCTGGCACGCAGTAGGCGCCACGTCTGCTGGGTACTTTCCACTGTGCTCTGAGTCCTCTATGGAGAAGATTGTCCCCCCCTTCCAGCTTGATGGCTTTCAAAAGCGACTAGCTCCTTCCTTCAGCTCCTCTGACGCGTGAGAGCGAAGCAGCGAGTGAACAGCCGTTGCTCATTAAAACTTTACTTTCCATCCCACTCATCCAGGACTCCTGGGATCTATTTCTGACTCCTGCTGAGTCGCTGTGTCTGTGGGCAGATCGCCACCTCTGACTCAGCACGCTCCCGCGGCTGAGGGACGCAGCAACCGGCTCCCCAGAGGCGGGAGAGGCGGGCAGCTGGTGTGCAATTCGGGGGCCCTCCACCCGTCTAGGCCCTGGCAGCACGGAGGAGCCGGCTTGGAGCATCTCCGGGGCAGGAAGATTCCCGCGGGTGAGTGGAAGGGGGCTCCAGGTCAGACAGAGCAGAGCTGGGGTCTGGACACCTGCTTTCACTCTGTCCCCCATCCTGTGTGACCCCAGGCCCCCTACTCCCCCTCTCCTTTGCCTCCTTGGTGAAGACACTGGGAGATGGTCACCACGACACCACTACCAACACTCAATACTGGGTACCAAAATGTCAAATGGAGGGAGGGCAGTGGGGGTGGGGGGTGGGCAAAGGGTTTCTTGTACGGGCCAGTAAACATCTGCGCGTGCTTCCTTTGTGAGTAACAAGTATCCGCTCATCCGCAAGCCCAAACTGCAGGCCCACCTTGGGATGCCTGGAGAGAACGGCTGTGTGCCACAGCCAAGTGCATGCCCACAACCCGCGCTGCGTGGCTGCCTGGCTCTGCGGAGGGCGTCCAAACCCGACAGGACTTTCAGCCCAACTGCAAAGCAGCTCCTGGTACGTCATGAAGGTTGAGCTCGCCATGCAGCCTGGGTGCGCGGGTGGGCAGCTGCCTCGCTGCATCCCCCCGTGCCTCTGTCTCCCTTCATTTCCTCATCTTGTCTGCATGGTTGCAGCCCCTCGGGGAGAGGGAGCAATAATCCTCTGCAATGGGAGCTTGCAACTCTCGCTCTCTCCTAATGGGCTGCTCCTTGGGTCCCTTCCAGTCCAGCTGTAAGACCGTGTGTGGCACAGCCGGAGGGCCGTGGCTGTGGGGCTGGAGGGGTTGCACGCTGGAAGCCCCTAGCACAGGTTCTCAGGCGGGCTTCTCTGCGGGTGCCCGACAAGGTAGACGCCGGGCAGGAATGACAAAGGAGAGCCATCGTGTCGGAGAAGAATCACACAAAGAAAAGTTCCTTCTAAGCCAGGAAACCCCTGAGCCAGGCAGAGCGCCGACACCGCAGCATCTCTTTGAATGTCACTCGAGGCGGGGGCGTGCAGGAAACGGGGTTAATGAACTGAATCCAACCTTATTTGCTTTTCCTTTTTGAGGCCCCATCTCTGTGTAAGCTCTGGTGGATGGGGAACTGCAGGATTAATGGAGATGGGCGGAAAGGTGCCAGCCCTGCTTCCGTGTGCGGTAGCTAGATCCGAGGACCCACGCAGACGGCGTGGGCATGGGGGCATTGATCGTGGTGTTCCCAGGTGCCTGTGTCGCTGGCAGGGTGGGCGAGGGGGCTTCGTCTCTGTTGCATTTGCCTACGTGTGATGCTTTTCTCTCCTTGTGTTTTGCAGTGCAGCCACCCCCTGGCAGGCACAGCACACGCCTGCCCTCGCCCCGACGGCCCACGATGGAAGTGGCCAGGATCAAAGACTTCCAGTGGAAAGCCCTGGCGCCTCTGTCCAAGCGCAGGGTCTACTGCTCCTCGGTGGAAGTGGGAGGGCAGGTCTTTGCCATCGGGGGCTGCGATGACAACGGCATCCCCATGCACTACTTTGAGGTGTACTCCCCGAAGCCGACCAGTGGGACTCCCTCCCTCCCATGCCTACGGCCCAGGCCACCCTGGGCAAGCGGATCATGGTGATCGGAGGGGTT